AATCGAAATAATCAACACCTGTCACCATTGACATACATTAACATGTTGACTAAATAGTTATTAGACTGAAATCATAAATTTGGAATGTTTTTGTGCCAAAAGTTCAACAGAAACTGTTTTATCATGATTTTTTCGAAAAAAAAAATATGATTAATTTAAAAAAAATAAAAGTTCCCAAATTTATCGTTTCTGTCAAATAAATATCTACTTAATATGTTTATTTTTTGTAAATAAATGACATGTAACTAATTCCATTCTAAATATCTTAAGAACGGTTGCTCGTAGCGATTTTTTACGAAAAAAATCACGAAAATGTATATTTTTTCACTTAGTCATTTTATACAGGTACGAGCGAAAAGTTATTACTTTTCAAAACAGTTAAAACACATGTAGGTGGCGCCAACTACAAATAGGAGTCATGTTGACATCAAAATCAAATTTCTCATGTCAAAAAACTCCCAGACACCAATTTTCATCCAAATATTGACGCTACTTTAATTATATAGAAAAAATCGAAATAAAAATGAAACTTTGACATCCTGTACCTCCAAAACTAAGCATTTTAGGACATTTATACGAACTTTTTTACTTATTTTTATGTGCTACCGAAGTGTCCGGAATACATTTCGGAGACCACCCTGTATATATTCTTCTATTTCCAGTGTTGTGTTATTTATTAGAATGTCTTTTTTTCCACTAGTTCGTTGTACATTACTTTAGTTTTTGCTAAATTCATTTTCAGATCCACTTTATTGCTGGCTGTAGTTAGTTCATTAATTTGTGCTTGTATAGTTCTTCAGGACTATTGGCAATTAGGACTATGTCATCAGCGAATCTTAGATGGTTAAGACATTGTCCATCTATTTTTCATCCTTTGAAAGAACTAAATATTGCTTTTATCTTAACATGAAATATCTAACAAATATTATTGACAAAAGCCAATCTAATTAATAACGATAAATAGCGTATAATAGAATAATAATGGGTTTCTTGACATATGGATATTGAAATTATCGACTACATCATTAAATAGTAAATAGAATATTTTGTATAAAGTTTGTAATAATGTCAATATGAAATAATATCTAAAGTTGATAATGAATAGAAATTTAGAGAAAAAATATTTAGTATGAATGGTAGATGTAATATATGTATTTAAAGCAGGGTTGGAAAACATCATGATTTTTTAAAAAAAAATAAAAAAAAACAGATTTTTTTTATTTAAATAAGATTTTTTTAATTTTAATTCAAAACAATATTTAAATCTGATTTCCAAACTAGGACTTATTTCCAGTTAAATTCCTATCCTAAATCTTTAAAATACTGCCCGATACCAATAACATCTACGGCGTGTTGTTATTTTTCCATATCGGTCATCAATATATTCTATTCGCTCGCTTCAGATCAAAAGGATTTTTTTTTCAAACATCTCAAAAATATTAACTTTTGTCATTTTAACATCTAGGCATAAAAGTAAAGCACTGTTACGCCTAAAAACAAAAGTACAAAAATATATTATTAAACTAAGATATTAAGTGTCAAATTCAACGAGAGTATAAATTGTTGCTCCATTACTGTTCATATTATTTGCAATGTTTGAAATTGATTAAAAAATTATTTGTAATGTTTTAAAAGAAATAGTATGTTCTATTCGGAGTAAAAATGTACTTTTTGTGCCTCCCTGTAACGTCGGAATAGCTTTACGATGGTCCTTCAAAGAGCATCGTCAAAAAAAGTATAATTTTTACTCCTAATAAAACAATACACTATTATTGTTCGGAAATAGTCTTAAGACGAGAATGAAATTAGTATTATCTAATGTCAAAGTGTAAAGTACTGGTCATGTCGGTAGGAATTTGGAAACATACAACACATTTTCTGACAAATGGGGGGAATGAAGAGAAGAAAAAAGGGAATGAAGATATAGTCTCTACATCAGAAGAACCTAGTTCTGCACTAGACTTTGCGAATGATATGTATTTGAACAGCGAATTTTTGTCACTTATACATAAAATTTAAAATAAATCCCTGCGTTTAGCGGTCTAGTGGATCCACACGAAATTACTTTAAAAATCGGTCCAACATTTAAATTGATGTAGTATAGATATTTTTATATAGTTTTATAACATTTACAATTATTTTCGATTTATTATCTGTTATATCTGTTATAGAAATATTTTTTCTAGTTTTCTAGGACACATTTTCATAACTTTTACAGTTATTTTTTCCCTTTTAAAGGGAGAAGTCTTATCTCCCTAAAGGGAGATAAAACAGACCCAACAAACTATAGAGGAATAACATTACTGAGCACCTCGTTAAAACTTCTGACTAAGATCATTGCGGACAAAATCTCCTCAATAGTGCCAATAAGCGAGGAACAACAAGGATTCCGAAGAAACCGATCAACTACCGATGCACTATTCATACTCAGGCAACTAGTTGAAAAATCTTAGAATATAACTCTCCAGCCTATCTATGTTTTATAGATTTAACAAAGGCCTTTGATAGAGTCCAACTAAAAGACATCATCACCATCTTGGAAAGCAGTAATGTCTCGAAAGAACTCACCGAACTTACCAAGGACTTAAACACAAACACAACAACCCAAATAAGAACAAACTTTACCTTAACGCAGCATCTTCGAACTACAACTGGTATTTGCCAAGGCGACAGTCTCAGCCCTCTGCTATTCAACACAATCATGGATCAAGTAATAAAAACCGTCAAGAATCCTGGATTAGGATATCGAATGGGAATGCATAAAGTAAACATATTATGCTATGCCGATGACGCAGTACTTATTGCAGAGTCAGAGGATGACCTCCAAAGAATGCTACAAGCTTTTAACAGACAGGCAGAAAAACTTAACATGCAAATTTCCACAGATAAGACCAAATGCATGACCATTACAAAGGAGCCTCTACGGTGCAAATTGGTAATAAAAAACAAAACTATTGATCAGATAATGTCATTCGAACACCTCGGATGCAAAATTACAAGCTCAGGATTCCTGGAAGAAGATGTAAGGAAACAAGCCAGTAAAGCTGCCGCAATATCAGGACATCTTCAATATCCCATATGGAAAAACAAACATTTGAGTACAGAATGTAAGTCAAGAATATACAAAACCTGCATACGACCAGTGATGACATATGGTGCGGAAACCAGAGCTGAAACATCAGTAACAAATCAAACCTTAAGAATGATAACTGGATACACATTGAGGGACAGACAGAAAAATGTAGACATAAGAGAAAAGTGCCAAACAAACGACGTTGTCAGATGGATAAGGCAGAGAAGAAGAGAATGGAATCAGCATGTCAATAGAATGGGCCCCGACAGAATGGCCATAATAATTCGCAACAATGTACCCCATGGCAGAAGACCTACTGGACGACCACCTAAACGTTGGCAAGACAGTTGGCAGACAACCTCGCAAGAGTTGCTTAGACGAGGAGGAAACCGGAACTAACCAGGCGATACGCCCTCTAAAAGAAGAAGAAGAAGAAGAAGACAGTTATTTTTTGATTTATTAAGTTTCAATAATTTTTTTTTTATTTAAATCACATGATTAAAATTAAAAAAAATCACTTGATTTAAATCACGATTTAAATCATGCCAACCCTGATTTAAAGTCACAGCCACCTTAAAAACCATAAAAACATACATTTAACTGTTTCTTTCAACTCTATATTCAATTACTATCAAAATATTTCAACAAAAGCATATTATACGAGTATATACAAAATAACTATATCTAAAGAAGAAAACATTCGAGCAATGTGTACTACCAGTCATGCCTATGCATGCGAAACCTGGATACTTAAAACGGACATCATAAGGAAACTGCAGGTCGCACAACGCTCAATGGAAAGAAATGTGCTGGGAATAGCCAAGAGAGATCGTAAAAGAATAGAGTGAATACGACTAAAGACTCAGGTAATAGATTTCATCCACAGAATCAAATCCTTCAAGTGGCAATGGGCAGGGCACCTGGCAAGAACAACGGACAACATATGGACCACAAAAATTACAGCATGATACCTACGAGGAATTAAGAGACCTAGAAGAAGACCGAACCTGAGATGGGACCATGATATTAGGAAATTAGCAGGAATAACTTGGATAGCCAAGAATAGACAACAATGGGTCTAACTAGAATTTAGAATTTTTGCTCTTCTCCAGGTGGTTGGTATATAATCCCATATCGCTAGACTGCTTCTTGTAATGCTTAGTATATGGTGAACAGCTATTTGCTGACCCTCCTTTAGAAGGGCAGGAAAGATTCCCTGCTGCTTTATAGGGCTAGAAGGTGTTGATCGCCCATTTCAGTTGTTCTGTTATTACTAGCTTGGCTACTTCCCAATCTTCCCTGCAAGGATTGTCGGATTCAGTGGGAGCTACATGCGTATCAATCGGTATGCTACCTGGAAAGTGTGAGGCTACACCATAATTGGAAATAGTTTAATAAGCTAAAATGATGATGATGATGATATTGATGACAAAATTACTTTGTTTCAATAATGGTGCTAAAATACTTTTTTTAATTTCCATTATAGAATGCTGTAATAAGCTCTTCCACATTAAATTCCTCAATTGCCCTTTACATTCTCTAAATGTTATTGTTACTTGACCGCTGTGTATATTAATTAAATGCCAACGTCGCATCCATAATTAATAAGGAATGTTTTCGTAACATTCTGTTTCTCTTCAAAATATAAACAGTTCACGGATGTTATCGGCAATTAATGGCGCATCGCGAACGCAAACACCATTTAACAAAGATCTTTGAGCCTTATTCTCAGGGTTGGGCTTGGAAAATTAATTGTTTTCGCTTATAGTAGACACGACGTTTATATTAGATACACCTTCCTATGTCTAAACAACCATTTATTGAAAAAATACGTATCTGAAATCTAACTTATGCAATACAGGGTGAGCCAACGACAGAGTAAAAAAATCTATTAGAAAAAATGATGATATATCTAGGGTGCCAGGGAAAAAAAGTATAAGTCAAAAAAGTTGATTTTTCAGAAATCAAATTTATTTATATGTGATTTTATGGAATTAAATAGTTATGGTTGTTACTGCATTAACAAAATATTTAATGAGATAAGATATTATACAAGTGAAACACATTAACTCAGCGTTATCATTGAACAGAAAACATGACTTATCCTAATTTGACCAAATGAGAAATGTCACTTATACTATTTAAACCAAACAAAACTAAATCCCCAAACCTATAAGCAATATAAAATCGCTCGAGAATAATAAGACAAAACTTGGAAAAAAATATTGATGCCTAAAATACTTCATAACTGTTGCAGTTAGTCGCGTAGGTCATCATCTTCTGAATCAGGGTAAGTATCAGGCATGTCACTACTTTTAAGGTTTCTATAAAAATCGTGAAATGTTGGTGAGATAAGAGGAAGAAGATCTAAAATATCTTTTTTCTTCTCTTTTGAAATGGGTATGGAAGATGTATAGAGGCGTTCTGGGTACAAACGTGCATCTTGTTGTCCCCGACGAGTAAGGCATAAGGTGTGAAAAGGCTCATCGTTGTCCAAAGTAGTTTTGTAAAGTATTTTTCCGGATTCGCGTGTATAACGAAACCACTTTACAGAATGCCAGTTGAACTGATTTCCATCTTCATCCTTTTTTCGAAGTTGCAAACTCTTTTTTAGCAGATCTGCAAAATTAAGGAAATCCGAATGATTGAGCTCGATAACTTCAAATTTTTTCTTTTTCCCAACTGAACGAACTAACTGGTACCAATCATAAGGGTGAGAGATAGGCACTTGCAACTTCTTCTTTTGCTTTTCAATAAGTCCATGGTCCACATCACACTCTAAATGAGTGTGTCCACTAATAAGGAACTTATGATCCACAATTTCCAAGTGTATATTTTGTTGCATGGCCACTAAAAACATGGTGGCAACATGGGAGTTTTTGTTCTGCCCTCCACAGGTATCAGAATATAACGTTACCTTTGATACCTGTTGAGGAAGCGAAGTAAGTTCCTTAAAAATGCATGTAGCTATTTGGTTTCCTCCCCGGCCACCCTCAGCTTCATGCCACATGTAACATCTAACATTTTGAGTACTAGTTTCATGTAAGGTTAGGTTGAAAGTCCAAAGTTGCCTTTTGTAAAAGGCAACTGACGTATTCAACATGGGGGTTGGTAAACATTGCTGCAAATCAAACATAAAACAACGCCGAGTTTGATCATTTGCTGCCAGTTCCTTATCTTTTCTTTTCTCTTCGTACGCGTTATCAGCTTCTAAATGGTGTATAGCTAACTCCTCTTCACTTTTCTTCTTTTCTTCTTCATCCCCTGCTACTCTGATTTTCATTCTGAGCAAGTCACATTTATTACAAGTATCGACTTTGGGTTCTTTGAAGCTTAAGTTCATTTTGTGAAATTCTCTTTCGTAGATTTGCCTGGATACTGGCTTTCTTTGGATGCTATTAATTTGGTCACAGTAAAGACTGTACATCAAACTTAGACTTAAATGAGGAGGTAAGTATCTCCTGCTACTTTCCCTTCGTGTATAGTGTGATTGGTATAGGGGAAACGATGATATGTGGTCTTTAACTTGTTGTAGTGTTTCAATGGAATGTTTGTTAGCGGAAACTGATCTACCCCTATTATCATCATAGGTGATTCCAGATAATGTGCTATTCTTATTACAGAGAGACAATGTAACGAACATTTGTGTTTCCCCAAGCGTTTTCATGAAACAGGCACGACACACACGAACCCTTTCACCATTAATAACAAAGTGAAAGATATGTGTCTTCGTGCGGAATTTTTCTTTATCAGGATCTACTGTTCTTTTTCTCGAAGAAGCGGGCTCTTTAGTATCAACTAATCCAGCAATAAATCTTACTCTTTTGTTTCTGTCACCAAGTGCCCAATACTCTTGAAATATTTTTTCTCTAATAGTTCTCTCTTCAAATTTCACTTCCAGCTTTTGGCTACATTTCATTCGGCATGACGCCAAGGGCTTTGACACTCTCTCTTTCACTACTTTATTTTTAGCCGTTATGTAACTTTTTCCGGTGTTTCTTTTTTCTTTTCTTTCGCTTCTCTTCTTTCTCGAATAAGTGCCTTTCTCCGCACCATTTTGTCTTGAATTTTCCACCGCAACATCTTTTTGAGCAGCTGCGCATGGTTTTTTATTTCTGGGTCTCTTTGATATCTTCAATGCTGAAACGGTCTTAAATACGTGCACATCATTGTCGTCACTTGATTCGGATGCATCTGGACTATAACTTTTGTCAGCCACGCTGTCGTCACTACATTCCGATAGTACATCAGTTGGTTTGGATGGGCCTAAAAAATTGTTGAAAGCTTACATTCAAAAGAACGCGCATTTTATGATATTTTTAAAAATGATATCAAGTCTTAAATTTTCGTGACTTCAGGTTATCAACAACGTTATGGCATGCTCCACGCGAAAATCAGTGTGTCTATATTTTTTATTTTTGGGCGATTTTGAATATAATAAAATTAACTTAGAAACATAATAAAATAGTAGTTTTTACCTGGAACTCCTAGTATTGAGGAAAAGTCCTGCATAGAATTTGATGGTTGGCAAAGATTTTTGCGTAGATCTGCTTGTTGACCATCTTCATTCCGCTCTTTTCCTAGATAACAGAACAATCAGGAAGGTAATCTACATACAAACCATTCATTCACAATTCAACGTAATGCGTCAAATCATTATATCAAAAAATAGAGGCGAGTGTGTTTTTCCACCCAAACTGCAAATAAGAACGCAATATAACGGTAACGCGGATGTGAGCTACGAATAGAGCCCCCTTTAAAGGTTTTTAGAATACCGGTATAGAAAGAAGTCAACCTAACTCCCTATATCGATTTCATTTTTTAAATGATACAGCGATTAAAATCAAATAGAGTAAATCTAAAAAGTAAACAAAACTCCTACTTACCCTTAGTTTCAACAAGGCTCATTATTTTTCTGGTTCTGTCACTGGCCATTGTAACTAATAATACACTTTTGCACTTTTGTTTAATTAAACTGAACGTTCTATAGTAAAACTAAAATTAAACGCATGTACATTTCGGCACTGAATATTTTTGAGGTTATGCTCTAAGAGTATAAGTCTAGCAGTTTTTACGATCAAAATAGAACATGTCAACTTATACTATTTCGATTGTTGGTTAAAACAGTATAGCTTGACATATACTATAACGATCTCAACAATCTAGTTATACTCTTTGTATTATTGGAAAGATAATGCGTTATTTCTTTGCATGACTTATACTCTTTTTACCAAAAGGTGGGCAACACTTTAAGGATTCAGTTGCTTGACTTATCTCATTTTGAGCAAATCATGACTTATACTCTTTTTCCCTGGCACCCTAGAAATGATCGAATTAAAGAACATAAAGATTATTTAAGAAAGGGAGATTTTCACAAATCTAAGATTTGTCAGCATTTATGGGACACAGGGCACAGAATAAATTTTAATAACGCCAAAGTTATAATAACAGAAGCGATAACCTCTAAAAGAAAAATAAAAGAGGCTTTTTAGTACAATCTAATAAAAATAAATGTATTGCTCATGCATCTGTAGATGTTAGTAATGTATGGCAATCGCTTCTTTGATTTTAAAGAACATAACATACCTCCCTAAAAATTAAAAATAATCATTCAGAAGTGTTTACAAAAAATAACTATTTTATTTTGTAGATTTTCTTGCAGTGCTGTGGCGAAATACCCATAAAGGATTTTTTTGGAGAGAAAGTTTGGGGCTTTTTGGTTTTACCTTTATTAAGTGTTATCAAATTTATAGAAGGCGTCCATTCTTCTCAAAGAGACCTGGTTTAAATGAAAAAGTAGAAAAACAGAGACCGAGACTTTGTCTTTTTTCTACTTTTTTTAATTGTTATCAGCTAGTAACTGCTAATTTTGAAGTTTAACTTGGTATAATGTCATTTTAACAGCACGTCGACGGTTTTTGTAGACGTATCTGTTTTAAAACACTAAAGTGTTCTCGAATAGTTTAATTTAAATATATTAAATTTTTTTTTTTTTTGTATTTTTTTGCTTCCAACGACGGAAAGAGATAAACTTTCCGAAACGTTAAGCATTTTTTTGTTCGTTAGGCAACTTTGTGTATCTGTAAACCTAACTTCTGATAAGTAGTTTCCGTTTGGGATTAAAGCAGAAGGGTTTACAAAAAATAACTATTTTAATTTGTAGATTGTCATGCAGTGGCGAAATACCCATATAGGGTTTTTTTGGAGAGATGAATCCGCCACATAGATATAGACATTTTTTTTTATTCTTTTATTTATATTTTGGTGAATTATATCAAAGATTTCTCCAATTATTATTCGTGGGCTTGCCAATTTTTTTCAATTTCCTCTTATTCCAAAATTACCTACCTATTCCCGTTATACTCGATAGAAATTTCTCAATGCCGAGCCCACGACTTTGCGCGCGCTGTAAAATTTCGTTGTTCGACTTCAATTATCATAATTGTTATTAACTATTAAATATCAAACCCAGATCGGTTTCACATTTTCTATTATATTATACGCCGTAGTCTACAATCCGCCAACGAATATGACGCGAAAGAATATTTAAAGCCCTTCTGGCGACACGCAAACTTACGTAACGTCGATATATAGAAGAGAATTTAAATTGTTTGAAATTATAGGCATTCCGCGGCGGTATTTTACGCAAAGTGCTAAGTAGTGTTATTAAGTGACATGTTTCTGATGGTTTCGGGCTACGAACAACTGTGATATTCTCTTTGAAAAAAGTTGTATTTAGTTCGACCTGAATTAATGATATCGATAACTCCGGTTGTCTAATCGGAAAATTGCAGAGAGTGAATTCAATAGAAAGCTGATAAATAAAAATTAAATTATTGACTACTAATCTAAATAGTTAGCCGTTATTCGATTTATCTCTATTTTTAAATAGAATATTATCCGTTTCATACATTTTATTAACAGTTTTACTCCAGGCTTTGTGCCTTTGCAAATTACAATTTATCCTCTGTAAATGCTTATTAAAATTTTTGATTATGTAATGGGCACTTTGTTTACTCACTTGTTTCGTCGAGCTGCTTAAATCCATTTTTGCTTTTGATCAAATCGGTGTAAGAAGTTGTGAAGCTATAAAATGGTTATTTCGAAAGAGTTGAATATCTGGGGAAGTTGAGTTATTGAATGTTATTGTACCCAAAACCACGTAATTATACCCTCTTTTCTGTGTTAACATATTTTCGACAATTTTATTACCATTATTTGAAATCGCCCAGTTCGTTTTTTTTTCACTTAATTTTTACTACCTGAAACAGCGTTATATCACACAAACCTCGTACCCTACTGTTTTATAGTTTCAATAACTGCACTATTAAAAACTAAAGTATGTAAATATTCTGACAAAGCCACAATTTTAAAATTATTTCAATGCGATCGGAACTGCGTGAAATACATAGCGAAAACTTCTGATTTCTGCCGTATCGAGAGCTGTGGTCAGAATTTTTAAAATCAACTGAAATGCACCGAGACAATAGAAAATTAATTACAATAAAATATTTGCCTGTTCTACCACTGAAAAACAGAATAACTACTTATAGTCTAAGAGCTGATTACATAACAAACCTTATCATCGTTACATGGCTAATTTTTCTTATAAAGTATCCTTTTGTGTAGCCATTATGAAACAGCCATTGTGAAAAACGTGAAATTTTGATAAGAAAGGGATGATTTAGCCATGTAGCGATGATAAGGTTTTTTTATATAGGCATCTCTCCGTCTATTAAGTAGATATTTTTTTATTATGCCACTGGGTTAGAATCCAAGGGAAATCGGCTAGTCAATGGCACTTCACTTCTAACCTAACAAAAGACACATTTTCAAGGAGTACACTATTTTTGTTAACTCTGTTTCAGTGGTGAACTACCCAGATATGTTTTTATTATGTCAGTTTACTTATCATAATATTACGCGTATCCAAGAATGTCACAATTTTCTCCTCGAAAATAATTGCAATCTATAATTGTGCCGAATGCCAATTTCACAGATTGTCAAGTAGCACTACAAGCACTAAATCATACAGAAGTCAATTTTTAATAATGTTACATTTCCTGGATCGACCAAAGGCGACCAAAAGGCAGATGAATGGTCAAACCCGGTTCATCAGTGCCATTCATAGGTCCAGAACCCTTCTGCAAAAAGATTTACAAAAATAGTCACAAAATAGTGGTTGGTCAACAAATCTCTAGAATGATGGAAAGTCACTAGAGCACAGAAAACTCACTAAAGCAGAGACAAACGATAAAATTGATATTAGAATATTCGCTAAACTTACAGCAGACACCCCTATTTCTAAAATCCTTATGGAGGCCAATGGTATTTCTAACAGGACTTAAAAAATAGAGAGTTGTGTAGAGTTAGCTTTAAAGCTTCTAAAATATTTAAATTACCTGAAAAACATCTAAGATTTTCTACCTGCGACAGAAAATCTATTCCCTTATCCCTTATCACATCTACTAAAAATAAGAACGACTTTATTATCGCTTACACATTTTATTGCTCCACAAAATAATATTTGTAAACTAGTCTTAAGCAACTAGTTTTAAACGGAAACGCTTTATATGTCGGACATTGCTATTTTAGTGTGGTTGGGGTAAACGAAATTAAGTGTTTTATTCTAATTTACTGATAAACTGAGATCGAGAAGTGAGAGCGTAAGATAAGTAGTATAAATATTCATTTGGTAAATTAGCAATTTCAAATTAAACGAGTATATTAGAGTGACAATTAGTTTTTTAATTAACCCAAAATTTAAAAAGGAAAGTTTAGAGTTTTTTTTTTCAAATATTATAAGTATAAATATTATTTTTCAAATATTTTTGAAGTGGCTATTGTGGTCCTCTTCTGATCTATAAACCTAAGTAGTAACCACATTGCCCAGTGATATCCTTTCCAAAAAGTATTATAACTTTTAAACTAAACTGTTTACCATTGGCTTATCAGGTGCCTTAATACAAGAACAACAGCCAGGCTGAAGGCCAGAGCTGAGATGCCCACTGCGGGGCCAAAGCTGGGTGAATTAAGAGATGGGCAAGACTCGATTTCCCAGTATTGGGCCAAGTCTAAATCACCAAAAAATGGCCCAGGCTTAGTTAACCAACTCTGGTTCAAAGCTGGGTCGCCGTAGCATGGGCTGAGATTTCCAGTGTTGGACCAAATTTGGGTGAATTAGGCGATGGCTAAGACTTGATCTCCCAGCCGTGGCCCAAGATAGGGTGAACATAGGATTGGCCAAGCCTGAATTACCCAGCTTTGGACCAATCTTGGTGCGCCGAAATCTGGTTTCCCGCGACTGGGCCACGCTTAGCCCCATTGTCAAACTACAGGGACTCCTGTATGGGTAAGCTCATTAAAATTCAGTATGTAAAGTTTTAAAAATGTATTATCCTGCTATTATTCCGAGATACAAAAAGCATTGTATATATTTTAAAATAGTTTTAGTAAATTTCTCCATCTCCAGCAGACACAACGAGATCGAACCGGTCTTAAATCAATTTACAAACAAGATCACTAAACAACCTAGCCAGATCAGTAGCTTTTCAGATCGATAGTATCGATTACGCGAGATATCGATATCTCATACTTAATCGTATATTTACGGGCTACGTAAAAACCTACGCACGCAGCCTTTCTACCAATCGGAACTGATAAATAAACAACAACGTCCGGACGTTCGTTAACACCCTGTATAGGCGCAGACGTGACGACTTCACTAAGCTCTAAACAATAAACATCCACTCACACAAGAAGTTGTAAAGCACATTATATGTAAATATGGCTTCGGGAGATTTTCAGGTATGACTCATTCAACGAGGTATGTGTGTTGTGTCTCACAGAAAAAGTTGATATATTATGTTCATAAATATTTCAGTGGCGGGTAAAATGTATTGTATTGTTTGAGCGAAAGTACCAAGAGAGTTTTTTGTCACTAAAACTGGTCAAATATCTCCAACGACTAATTCAATTTGATTTAGAAAAACTCTTAAAACTAAATACTTAATTACACCTATAATCGAAGGCTCGATTTTTAAATTCATTGTTGGCAACCATGGACATATTTGGGGCCGGGCTGACTAACAGGAATTTAAATTTCCCGCAGTGGTTTCAGGTGGTAACTCTGCTGTAAAAATATCAAGTTATCAAATCAATTTTTTTATTTTCTGTCGTTGTCATTCGTTTTGACACTTATTACGAGTTTTTCGTTTCAATGAAAGTGTTGTGATACTTTAAGCTTAAATTTTTTACTAGCAGTTTATTCAGATCGTTTTGTAGCATTATTCTTTTGGAACCTCTTTTAGTACGA